AGTTCTATAAGCTTCTGGGATATCCAGAGAACTTCATGGAAGGCAAGAAAACTTCAGGGAAATGGAGGAACATTGAATACATTTCCAGAGCCTCAGGGAAGCTTGGGCTAGAGATCTTCAGAGAAGCTTAGAGATCTTAACTTAGTTACAAATCCTGGGCACCTCCAGTGCTGCAAAGGGCCAACGTGAAAGACTTCCATCATGGGCGGCTGCTTTAGAGATCTTCTGGGCAGTCTCAATAATTTCAAGAAAGGCCAGGACTATTGGGGAAGCCCAATGATCTGTAAATATTAGCTTCGATAAAAATTCAGGACAGCTCCATAAATATCAGAAAAAAATTCGACAATCTTCAAGAAGGTTAGGGTAGAAAAGATCAAACATATTTTGGGAATAATTCATAAGACCAGTGACTTTCGAAGAAGTGTAAAGATTTCTAGGACATTTCCTTTTTATTTGAGGGCAGATGCAAGAACTTCAGGGTAGCTTCGAAAACATCAGCAGGAAGTGTCAGAGTACTCAGGGCAATTGAATTAACTTCAAGGAAATTTCACAAACTTTACAGGCGATCGGAGAAACGCAGGGGATTTCCGAATATTTCAGCAAAGTTCCCAGATCTTCAGGGGAGTACAGAGAACTTCAGAGATGCATTGAGATTTCTAGGCAGTTTAATTATTTTCAGACCTGTTTCGCTTTGAAGTAACAGAGAACTTCAGAGCAGTTGCATTCCAGGAACTTTCAAGAAATTGGTTCAAGAAGATGGAGTTCAGGAAAATTGTCGAAACGTTAGAGAGGTTCCGAAAAATTCCAGACAATTTTCATCACGTTGGAAAAACTTCAGGCAACTTAGAGAACTTTATTGATGTTCAGACACCTTTCGGGCGGTTTCAATAACTTCCGATGTTCTTCTTTAGCTTTTGCTACGTCCCTACTAGGATTTTGCGCCAGCCCTCAACTTAATATTCTTCGAGCACTTCCACAGTTGTTAGTTGAGGGCTTTCTAAGCAAGTAGCATTTTTGCATTACTTCTTCTTCTTCTTCGCATTTCAAGCTTATTGCGTATGGCATATTAGCTTATTGCGTTCTCTCAACTTAGTGTTCTAGATGCACTTCCACAGTTATTAATTGAGAGCTTTCGATGCCTGTACCATTTTTGCATTAGTATAATTGTGTGGCAAGTACAATCATACTCTATGCCCAGGGAAGTCCCCGAAAAATTCCTAGACCGGACCGGGAATCGAACCCAGTCATCTCCAGCATGGACTTGCTTTGTAGCTGTACCTTTGCCGACTGAGCTAAGGGAGGTCCCAGCATTTTTGCATTAGTATATTCTATATCGCAATTAGAAACAGTGTGACGGCGATAATTGACCTCTACGGAACAACCATCTCCTCGATGAAGGGCTGTGACTGTGTGTTGCAGACCTCGACACGGAATGAACAATCCGTGAGGAAGTTTTTAACGAGCTCGACCATGGGACCTTTCAGTCCCCAGCTGACTAGTTGCTTCAGGACGAGAGGTGTCCATGCCCTATTGATGGTCTTGGAAATATCGAGAGAGAGAGAGAGAGAGAGAGAGAGGCCGTTTCGATGTGACTGCTGCTGCTGTTGGCCTCCTGGAGTACGTCTCCAAGCGTCGCAAAGTACGTAGAGGTACCGGTATGGATTCGAGGAGCTTGCTGTCTTCGAGAAACTGCTTCAACCTGCGATTGACCATTCTTTCCATTACCATGGCCATCCAGCAGGTGAGCGTGATGGGCCGATACTTGGAAACGTCTCCGGTGATTTCGTTGGCCTTTGGTATTGGTACGACAAGGCTCTTTTTCCACCGGTCGGGGTACGTCCCATTCAGCCACAGCTGGTTGTCGAACTCAAGAAGTTTGACCTTGCCGGGTACTGTTGCTTGCGCCTCGTTATTCGATGGCTTCACTCTGCATGGTCTGTCTCAAGTTAACTATATTACTAATCAGAACATTCGAATCATGGATTTCGTTTTGGTGAATGAAGCAACGCTCTCTCGATGCCAGTTTGAAAAAGTTGTAGAACCGCTCTCTATTCTTGATGCCAATCATCCCGCTTTTGAAGTAACTAATAGTCTATCGCAGTCTCGGACGAACCTGGACTTGACTTTCACCGCGCTTATTTTGAAGGATTACTTGAAGCGCTTCGCCACACTGACTGGCCATTGAATCCGCTGAATATATTGACATTGGTTGATTTTGTTCTTTCGAAACCACCTTGAGGGAATACACATTTATGACGACTCAAACGTCTAACATCCAAAGTACTCCGAACCTACTTCCAGTCTCGTTGTCCTTTTGCCAAGCAACATTTCTTACGTGCTAGTAACAATTATCGCACGTATAACCGTTATCTGTACAAACGCTACCGCAAACGAACTAAGGAAAATCTACGCAAACATCCACGACATTTTTGGAAATTTGTCAACTCTAAACGGAAGGAGAATGGGTTAACCGTTGAGATATTTCTGGGCAATGAAGTCGCCACTTCCGCTTCGGAAAAGTGCAATTTATTTGCCACTCACTTTAGAAGGGCATTCAATGATTCTACGTCATCTGCACGTCAAATCACAGAAGCGTGTAGAGATACACCTAGTGGGGACTGTTTTCTGAGAAGCTTTACGATCACGTCGAATCAGGTGGACTCCACAATAAACAAATTGGAATAGTCCACAGTCCAGATGGCATATCGTCATGCATCTTGAAAAAATGCGGCGAAGAGTAGATTTTCCCTCTTATGACACTTCTCAACCTATCATTACGGAAGCGTAGTTTTTCCACAAACTGGAAAACGTCAGTCATGTTCCCGTGTTTAAAAAAGGGGAATAACTTCGTTGTGTGCTTGTTCAAAGTTTTTCGAAATCATAATATATGGTGTACCTTTCGACTCCTGCAAGAATTACATTTCTATGGATCAGCACGGTTTCGACCCCAACGAAGCACTCTTCATGACCATCCATCAAGTTGACGAAAGAAATAAAAAGCAACTAGTGAATGTCGTCAGTGGTAGTGATTCATCACCGATCTGGTCATTCCCGACAATCACGACACTCATCTGTGCTCGTTTTGATGCAGTTGCTGCTTTGCTTGCTTATGTGAGTGAGCCCAACAGCTTCCGTTTACTTTTGCCAGCTTTGTTTGTAACTCATACAGTCGCGCCTGCCGAGACAAATTTGGAATGCGTAGGCATTGTTTTAATTTTCTTCTGTCGTTTCGCTTTTTCTCATCATCGTACTGAAGAAGTCTTCACTGTTTTCGTTGTGCTTTTCATCATCGGCAGTGAGTGTTACGTTTTGCCTGTGAGCAGCGACCATTACTGGTGATTGTTGTTTGCCATGGCTCTGCCCCTCACTGCGTGACAAAAGGTTCTGTCAGCGATAGTCGATTGATGCGTTAACGAGTGTCGAGTGAGTGTCATGATATTTTGCATCACTGAAGGTGATGATGGATTTTTCAGATTTCAGATTGCGGGGTTGCTAGTGTAATAGGATGCTTTGTTGATTGTTCATTAACTCTTGATTGCTTGTAATACTTATGAATATTTTAGGTGGAAAAAAGGCGAACGCCTGAGCTTTTCCACATTTATCACTGAGAAGCAACTGTAAACTCTAGAGGGAATTTATATCTGTAATTGTAACCAGTTCGATTTTGTTTGCTAACCTGGATAAAATGTCATATTTAATTATCATACAGATAAAGCGTCCAACTCAAATCTTTGTAGCGGTAAGAGGTGAGACCATCATCATCATCCGTTTTCCCCGGGAAAGTGTAGGAAAATTCACTCAAACTATGAGTGACCTACGTTTTAGCGATTTTGAGTAATCTGAACTTTTTGTCCATGTGTGAATGTTTTGGAAAGTATTTTTTTTCTGTATTATTAAAAAAAACTCACGCCGACCCACGCCGCCACGCCACAGCTACCGAAAGCAAACGGCGTGACACCGCCGCGCTGCCACCGCCGGCAGAAAATAACATATCACGCCGCCGCCGAAAATATTTTCATCGCCGCACAGATCTAATCGACATATTAAAGATCAATCTCCCTTGTATTGAGATTCGAAATTTATGTTTTCTAAAATTTCATATTCAGGATCGGTTGTTATTTATTTATTAAACAAAATCAAAACTTAGTGTTTTAAATTTGAATCGAGTTTTCCATTATCAATCGTCCGGTGCATCCAAAAATAGGCGTTTCTGCAAGAAATGTTGATTGTTCTGAAGACAACACACTTAAACAAATCTATAGAAATTCATTTTGCCGTGGGATGCGGTGAAGAATGGTAGTAAATCGTAATTAAGTGGCTAAAAATTATATGTTTTCGCAAGTTAGTGTGCTATAATATTCAAGAATTGTGTATTATGTGTTACTTTTGTTTATTGTTGTTTTGAACAATTTTGTAGATCGTTTCAAACCGGTAGAAGTTTAAAGTTAATAATTATAAAGTAAAAACTTCTATTGAGGGGTTTCCACGAAAAACGTTCCATATGTCAATGAGATAAAGAAAAGGGCACCTAGTGTCTTCAGCAAAGTTTCTTGTTTTGATATTGTCTCAAACATTGTAGACTTATTTTTTATCAAATCACAATATTGAAAAAAAAAAATCAATATTCCGGGTCGATTTTTTTGTCAATTCTAAAACTGGACAAATTTTCTAGATGAATGATTTTGTATATTTTCTGGATTCCAGGACCGAGCAATTCCATGCCAAATGTTTTAGTAACTTTGAGTAAGAATTAAAAAAAAAGTGAGCTCAAGTGGATCTCACTTCCAGGGGTATTAATCATTGATCTGTGAATGTCCTAATGGCCTTACATGTCCGGAAACTCACTTGTCTAAAATGCAATATTCGCGAGATAACTACTTTTGACCAGCTTGTCACAGTTCTGGACCACTGTGCACCGCATAAATCGAGGAATTACTGTATTTGAATGTTGTTTCCATTACAAAAAACGACAATCCAACCTCATACCACCACCCACCTAC